TTTTACATATTTTATCATATTATAATTTTGAAATGTGATGTGCTAGAGAAGTGTTCTTGCAATCAAAATTAAGTATGTTGTTGACTTTCAACTCTAAAAAGGAATTTTTGTGTGTCTGTATAGTTAACAAGATATTGTTAAATATAGGGATTGCAGAAAAGCTGTGAATTAAATATAATTTGACAATTTACCAAACAGCTTTCAATTTTGTTTATTTTACAGAGTTCACATTTTCAATGTGGGACTTACACAAAAAGTAAAACCTATCTGTGAACACACGCGCGCGCGCACACACATTTTTAAATATTGTTTAAGACATCTGCTTGAAATTTGAATCCACCATTTGAAATTGTCAATTAATTTTGACTTATATTCAGTCTTTTATTGATTACATTTTTATTCAGTCTTTTATTGATTAGATTTGTGTTTAGCGATTTAAAAAGCACATAAATTGAAATAAACAAAATTGGAAGTTGTTTTTTAAATTGCCAATGATTTAATTTAAAGCTTTTCCGTAATGAATCCCACGTTTACAATAAATAACTTGTTAACCATAACAGACATAAAATTTTTTTTGAGAGTTGAAAGTTTTAACAACGTATTTAATTTTGATTGCAAGATCACTTTTCTAGTACGTCGCATATTGAAGTTATATGATAAAATATATAAAATTAGCTAATTTTTTTTGCAATTTGACCTCCAAATTTTTAAAAATTGTGACGTGATAGAGCAATTCTACGATCAGATTTGCATTTAGCGTAAAGAACTACGGGAAATGACTAATCTTGTTGTGGTGTTCTTTTTGTTGAACTGTGTAATTGATGTTTATAATCATACGTGAGTATAAGTTATATTTTTATTTTTCAGTTATCTAAATAAAGGTCTTGTTGAAAAGTTAGAAGTAATAAATAAGAAATGGGTGCGTGTTAAGCTCTTACCTGGGTATACTGCTGATGGTTCTGTAAGTTCTTAATTACTATTACTATTTACTACTACTAATTATTAATCTTAAAGATTAGTGGTAGAGTTTACTTACCTCTGGATTTCATATTAGAACTTATTTTGTTAATATTTAATATTAATATTTTTTTATAGGATACATTATGGTTTAATATTGGAAGTACTGATACTTTTGAAAGAAATTTAGAAAATGCACAAATAGAATTAAACATGGGACCTGAGAATTATATTCCTGTGGTCTACAAAAATGAAGTAGAAGGTATAACCCTTCTGTCATACATACCGCAGATTATTATGTGGGGTAAGCAGTTAATTATTAATTTTGTAAACTATTATAACAGTGAAGCAGCTCTTATATATTATATTGTATATATATACATATATTTGTATTGGATAAATTTAAACCTTTATATCTCAAAAATTACTGCTAAATAACTTTTTTACTTTTTTAATTTTACGAAGACTTTCTTGCTATGATATTTTGATTCGCGAATTTCGGGACACCCTATATATATATATACATATATAAATCATTTGTAAATTTTTATTTTAAACAATAGTTTTTGAGATATAAAGGTTTAAATTTATCCAATTAGATACACATAAGATTTTGTGTCCATAGACACAAAATAGGTTAGTACTCGCGTGAAGTGTACGATCACTAACACTATCGACGCGTTTACGGACGTTTCCGTTTAATCGTAATCTATAATTGCCTAAATTTAAACTTTTATATCTCAAAAACTACTGCTTAAATTAAAAATTTACAAATAACTTTTTTACTCAATTTTTCGAAGACTTTCTTGCTGTGATATTTTGATTCGCGAATTTCGGGACATCCTGTACACACATATATATGTATTTTGTCTCATATATATATTAAAAAAATAAGGAAAGAATATTTTAATATATTTTAGGATTCCTTATTTTCTTAATACGAAGATCTGCAGAAGCAATGACTGGTAAAGGGGGTAAAAGGGGTGGACTTTTCGGTCAAGTAATGGAATCGACTGCAAAACTAATAAATTCGAAAGACATTGGCGTACGATTTAAGTAAGTAATATATATACATATATGTATAAGCACATATATATGTAGATTTCACACGTATGCAACTTAATTAGTAAATCTTATATTGTTCGATATTAGAGACGTAGCCGGATGTGAAGAAGCTAAAATCGAAATCATGGAGTTTGTAAATTTTCTGAAGAACCCGCAACAATATATAGACCTTGGAGCTAAGATTCCAAAGGGCGCTATGCTAACAGGTAACTAAAATTTGTGTATATATAAAGTTGTATAAAATATATATTATTCAGTAGACAGTAAAATGAATTTTTTGATCCAGTTTTAACTAAAACATATTAATGGAATTTCAAGATGCAATACGTAATATGTGTCGTATCTTTTATAGGGCCCCCAGGCACTGGCAAAACTTTGTTAGCTAAAGCTACAGCTGGTGAGGCGAATGTACCTTTTATTACAGTATCAGGTTCGGAATTCTTGGAGATGTTTGTGGGTGTCGGTCCTTCTAGGGTGCGCGACATGTTCTCCATGGCACGAAAACATGCGCCGTGTATATTATTTATCGATGAAATCGATGCAGTTGGACGAAAGAGAGGAGGTCGGAATTTTGGTGGACATTCTGAGCAAGAGAATACATTGAATCAGCTCTTGGTAGAAATGGATGGTACGTCGTAGTTTTAAATACAAAAAGACTGCGAAGATTGCGGAATAATTTATAACGTTTTATGAATTTTCTTTAAGGATTTAATACGACGACGAATGTAGTCGTATTAGCGGCGACTAATAGGATAGATATTTTAGACAAAGCATTATTAAGACCTGGAAGATTTGATAGACAAATATTTGTTCCTGCTCCGGACATTAAAGGACGAGCGTCCATTTTCAAAGTGCATTTAGCTCCTTTGAAAACGAAATTAGATAAGGAAGAATTAGCGAGAAAGATGGCATCTCTAACCCCTGGATTTACAGGTACATGTTTGAACATATATCTTTTTGAAGAAATGGCAAATAAAAAAATATTTTACAATCAGTGAAAATCAAACGAAATCTATTATTTTGTACAAAACTTTTAGGAGCTGATATTGCAAACGTTTGCAATGAGGCAGCTCTGATTGCGGCAAGAGACTTGAATGATAACATTCATCTTAAAAACTTCGAGCAAGCTATTGAGAGAGTGGTTGCCGGCTTGGAAAAGAAAACCAAAGTATTACAACCCGAGGAGAAGAAGACGGTTGCGTACCATGAGGCCGGTCATGCGATAACCGGCTGGTTCTTGGAACACGCAGATCCACTTCTAAAGGTTACCATATTTTAACAATAAATGGAAATCGACCGATATGTTAACAAACAAGGCACCTGTCCCGGATAGTAAAGAAATTTAGTTTATGCAAACTGTTTGACCGATTATTTATTAGTCTCGAAAATCGACTGAAAGGACTGGAGCAGCTATAAGGTTCAAGTTCAAACCTTGATTGGGATGATATTTTTTGCAACAAATTCTTTGTAATAGTTTAAAGATACATATTAACATTATTAAATTATATATCAATTTAATTCGTAATATTACGACTGCAGCTTCAGTTTAGGATTGCGTATCAAGAGGCCTGGTTTTTAATATGCAAAAACTCATGAAATTAAAAATAGGATTTGTTATAGACAAAAATATATACGAGTATTGATGAGAAAAAAATAAAAATTTGTATTTGTTCAATTATCATTTTGTTTAAAACGCGTATGTGAGCGTTTTATAAAATTCTTTATCAGGTTCGATTTCAAATAAACAAAAATAATGCAAAGAAAATGAAAAAAAGAATACAAATATGAAAAATACAAGTGAAACAGGCCCTACAATAAAAATGGCTTTAAAAATACTGGAAAATTAAGCTATTTTCTGTCGATCAAAAAAATTATGACGTGATGGATCAATTTGAACATCGGATTCAGAGCATCAAAATATAAAAATACCATGGTCTAATCTTAAACATTACATTTTTTGTGTGCTTATGTAATCGGCTCGCAGTTTGCATGAACTGTACAAAATTCACGGAAAAATATTATTAGGCATCAAAGTCCGCTTTGAATAAGATTCTTCTTGCTCATTTATGTTATATCTTATTTACATTAGACATACAATATATCACAATATATCACAATTATATCACAATAGACAATTTTTTAGTAACTTTTATTGACTTTTTTAGGTGTCTATTATTCCACGTGGTAAAGGATTAGGATACGCTCAGTATTTGCCACGTGAGCTGTACCTTTACACAAAGGAACAGTTATTCGATCGGATGTGTATGATGCTCGGTGGACGGTGCTCGGAAGAAATCTTTTTCGGCCGCATAACTACAGGCGCTCAGGATGATTTGCAAAAGGTATTATCATGATTAACTGTAAAAGCAAAAAGACAATAATATATACGTGTGATGATAATTTTGAGAATCAAACTCGGATCTTTTATTTGACAAGCGATTTTAAGAGGGGAACTTGATTTAGATTGCTTAAAAAAAAGGTAATCTTCGCAAATTTTTTTAGCAAAGAAAAGTAAAGTCGATCTTTCCAAAATTTTAGGGATACTTTATTACATATTTATACTATACAATAAAGTTTTTAATTAAAAAAATCAAAATAATTGTCATAATTAATCAGTATTTGAAGTGTCTCGCCACTGGAATTACGAAATGGCGGGAAAAATGGAGTCAGTAATTTCTGTCTGAAACAAAAAAACTAAAAATATTTTTAATTTTCATATAATTGTATAGTCGATGAACTAAAAGAAATAATAAAAAAGTGTAAAACTAAAGAAAAAGTGACAATTTTGAAAAAAAGTTTTACTTTATGCAATAAAAATTGTTTAAATTAATTTTTTTACAAATGTTTTTAGTTTATCGATCTATACAATTATATGAAAATTAAAAATATTTTTAGCTTTTTTATTTCAGACAGAAATTACTGACTCCATTTTTCCCGCCATTTCTCGAGTAACTTTAATCATTGATTAATTATGACATTATCTTGATTTCTTTTTAATTAAAAAATTTAAAGTATAAATATGTATCCTTAAAGTTGGGGAAAGATTGACTTCTTCACTTTTCTTTGTTACAAAAATTCGTGAAAATTATCTAAATCAGGTTTTTATCCTAATACTGAATCATTCAGTATTTTTTCTCCTATATTTCGATACGTATTTTGTTTTACTGAATTGTTCTTTTTATTATTTTTTAAGATTACAAAAGTTGCATATGCACAAATTACGCAATACGGCATGAACGAGAAGGTTGGAAACGTTAGTTTTGAAATGCCAGGTTCAGGAGAAATGGTTTTCGACAAGCCGTACTCGGAACATACTGCGCAACTTATCGATAACGAGGCTCGAGAATTGATCGATAAAGCACATAAGCGAACGCTAGAGCTTTTGAACAATCATAAAGAAGATGTAATCAAGGTAGTAATGACTTTATCGTCTATTTAAAATTTTAAATAACTGCTCCATCAAAATGAAGATTGAAATATAATTTGACTTCGACAGAACGAAGATTGAAATATAATTTGACTTTGTCAGAATAAAATAAAAATATACTTTCGTTCAATTTCAGGTCGCTGAACGTTTATTGAAGCAGGAGGTTCTAAGTAGAGACGATATGATCGAATTACTTGGACCTCGACCTTTCCGTGAAAAATCCACCTACGAAGAATTTGTCGAAGGTACGGGCTCCTTCGAAGAGGATACTACGTTACCGGAAGGTCTGAAGGAATGGAACGTGCAAAAGGGGGGATCTTCCGAGGACAGTGAGAAGAAGGACAAAGCGGCGGAAGCGCAGCGTTCCGATGCGGCTCCCGGTGATAAACAGCCACAGCAGCGACTGTAATTGTAATATTTTAGTCTCACAAATGCTTTGTATTATAGTTCGAAATACACAATTATAATAAGTTTACGGTTGTCCAACAGTATATTTTCAGCTGCATCAGCTGTCATAATCATTATACGCGTTAAGTTGTCATATTTAACGTGTGCCACTTGTAACGTTCTTTATGTAATTACATTCAAATTGTACTTTTTCTCATCTCACATAACATCCGCTTTCACCTTCAACTATAAAAATAATAATAATTTGAGAATAAATTGTACGAAATAATACTCGCGAATATTTAGAAACCGTAAGATTTCTTGTGTTCTTTTAATAAAATTGTGGATTTCGTTAATTTTTAGATAATTATTAAAGATATGTTTTTGTTTGACATTATATGTTATATCATCAACTTCTTTTTCGTGTTCTTTTAGACTAAAAATTTTAGACTAAAAAAGATCGTAAAATATTTGAAAGAATGACGTTTGCAAATTCAGTATTTATCTTAATCTTTGAATATGTCTATAGGTTTTCACATTCGTCCTGAAGCAGTGATATATTTTTTCAATGAATAAACTCAGGAATTACAAACATATGCGGGAGAGTAAAATGGTTTAACATGCATAATCCATATTTAAGGTTTAGTTTATTGATAAGAAACATGTCAGTAACACGATCGGCTTCTGCATTACATTACTGGGTACGAATTAATTTATGTGTGACGTGTGCTGTTTATTGCACACCGCTGTAAATATTATGTAAAATTGCTTTCGTCGACGTCGCGGCGACGGAGTGCCGCCTACGGCCTTGCGCTACGAAAAATTTGTAAAAGGTATCCGCTGTTATTTTATCGCGTGTGTTCACACGTATGTTGGTCGTGAACGTGTTTGTCGTCGCTCGTAAAACGCTTTATCCTACACCCTTACGAGTCCGAGCGAGTTATTTTCTCGCATTCTTCCGCTCGTTACGCCCGAATCAGCACCTGATTCGCGAAAAACCGAATATATGACCAGTCAGTCTAAAAGAGTTTCAGCGAAGTTGCATCGCTACTCACATGCACACACACATACACACACGCGCGCGCGCGCGCTCTGATATCCATAGTATCCCAAATTACAAGTGAAATTTTGAGGAAAACGTCTAAAGTGTCTATCTTTTTAGACACTTTGACTGTTTGAGATACGATCGTTTGCGATTGTTTTCTTTCAGATAGATCGAATTCATCTTAGTACGACTGAAATCGATCTTGGTCGTTAGGTACTGAATCTGCGAAAAATACTGCTCGGAGATGTTAAGTACAGTGTCTTCGTTCGACGGATAATCGTTCTTTTGTCTCCTATTTGTAGGTAATCGGCGGTGTATAGATGCGCGCAACGACCACGACGTTATAAATGACTAACAAAGTTTGACATTTAAAAAGTACGCGCGATGTGTACAATATTTCTAGTTGAAGTTTGGTGTTACATTGTTCCAAAATTGGCAAATTCATTCCTTTATCATCATTTACTCTTCACCGTACGTGAATTCTTAGTGGTAGTCTGCAGAGTTTACACACGCGTTGTATAGTCAGGTTTTTGAGAAAAAGTTATATATATCAAATCGCAATATGAATTTTTAATACTATAACAGAGTGTGCTATCTCCACTGACTTTTGGATCCAATTGTTGGATTTGTTGGTAATTATTTTCGATAACTAGCACGATTGCCACAAATAATACATTGGTTGATTCTATGCGTTTCTGCATTGAACGATGTCTATCGGGAACGCAAAGATTTATGGAACGATCTGAAAAATTGATAATTTACTATAGTACTCCTGTACTATTTCGTTTACTCGAAAACAGTTCCTTCATCTTCTAAATTTCGGCTATTTTGTCGCAGCGTGTTTTATTGGAAGAACATTTCATTTACGCGCATTTACTTTAACCTTGCTGTTTTCGGCTCTATTTGATCCAAAATGTAGTTAATTTTTTTATAATATTTTATTTAAAAACTTTTCTCTAATATTGAATAACTATCGTCTGTTAATATAGGTAACATTTATTTGTTATAACAACGACATAACTTAAAAATGTCATTCTTTTAGTTGCTTGTAAAAAATTTAAAGAATAGAAACATAAAGTAAAAAAGGGTAAATGTAATTAAAAAATATATATTTTTATTCCTTTACAATTAGTTATTACATCAAAATTGCAATTTCAAAATTAATACAGAATTTTAATAATTCAAAATATTTAAATTTATTTTCTGCAAAAACTTTGTTTTTTGAGTTATGTCGATGTTGTAGCAAATGAATGATAAGATCTTTTTTCTGTGAAAATTTATTATTTTTTAGAGTTTATTGATCCAAACGATATAATCTTATAGTAAATTTGAACAGCAGAGTTATTGATGCTGCACGTTTCTTATTGCGATGCGTTTGCAAACGTGTCTTGTTCCCAAGTAACATGCAATGTCACAGTGATGTCAAATTGGCATAAAATTCAATGAAACTTTCGTTAAGTTTCAGTCAAGAGTCTTCTTGATGAACATGGAATCATTTTGACCTTATCGTGACAATCGAATGTTATTTGAGCGGTTAACTTTTTTACAAAGTTAAGTTCAAGAGAGCGGTGATGACTATCGAAAAAGTTAATATCCATCATGTTATCAAAAGTAAGCTTCAATTATGATATTTCCATCGAATCGCATGTCAACAGATCGCTGTGTATATTAACTTTCTAAAAATTTCTATAAACTCGTTTCTCGTGAATTCAAAGTGAGTTTCCTTTATATTCATTTTTATTTATTTGCCACGAATTTATACGGTCACAAGTTTCCGACAGCCGCAATAAATTTTTCGTATTTTCTTTATTTAAAAACTTGTCATAGGTAGATCGGAGTAACAACGGAGTAAACAACGTTCTGCCGCTGCAACCTCGTTTTCCGATCTCAATTGGGCCTCTATGACAACATTGTCGAAAAGATGTATAGTACTTTTATTCATTTCACTTTCTCATCACTCATCCGTGACAAGTCATAATAAGTGATGATTCCTATTGATACATATGTCATAATTAGCAATAATGTGTGGGGATAAGAGCAAATATCATGAATTGTTAATCATAAGCGATACGAGTTGCACTGTAATATGGATTATCATTATATTCGAATCGGTGAATTTTTTTTATTTTTCTCAAATTCCTTTTTGGTGTGCATAAATTTGGTACCTGCATAAGATAGTTCTTCTTCTTCTAAATGACAAAGCATCACGTTGCATTATCGAAATTTAAAGGCAATATTTCTATTTTGTTTCTTTAGGGTTGCCACCTAGACGTTCTAACTCGGAGACAAAAAAAAGAAACAAGTTAGTATGTATCAAGTATTTTATTATAAAAATTGTTACAACAAAAATATTCAAAAATATAAGATAAAAAATGACTCAATAATTTAAAAAAAAACAAAATTTTGACAATTAACAAACAAAAAATATATAAATATATAAATTAAATAAATAATGATATAATGATCATAATATAAATATCGCAATACGCATACATACACACCCACACCTTTTTGTATACATAATATGTGTTTATATATATGTATACATACACACACACGCACGCACGCACGCACGCACGCACACACATATTCACATATATATGGGGCATTCTCTGTCAAGCGGATCATCCTCTCTGTCCAAAATTCAGCTCAACCAAAAAATTTCTCTGGGCTTAAATTATAGATACACATGTCTACTTTTATTAGCACTCTGGCCTTTTTAAAAATTCAATATAGCGGATCTAGAATCGCAATTAGAATGGACTGTCGTAAAAAAATTTTTAGAACAAATTTTAATTTCTAAAGCACAGGGGGCTAGAAAATTTTTCTACTTCCATAAATTAATGTTTTGGGGGTCGCTGAATACGAATCCGCAGTCATAATTATAAAACAATGGCGAATTCAATATACCAGACAAACTTAGCCAATCTTCAAATAACGCAAATTTTTTGCACAAGACTCACCAAACCGGAGTTTTTTTGGTCACCAATCATGGAATTTTCAGATATTAAAACAGAATTCGGGATGTCGAATGCAATATGGCGGGTGGAATATGACTAGTGCATTTCGCAACGTTCAAGTTGAAAATTTTTTTTGGTCAGTCAATGTATAGACATTGGTTTATTGGATTTTTTATTGCAAATTATCGATCTTTACTTAAAGTTCAAGGTTGTTGAGCCAATATGGTAGGTAAAATATGGAAATAATGGAATTTGCATTATTTGAAGTTAACCGGCATATTGGTTCGCTATTGTGAATTTTATAATTATGACTGCGGATTCGTATTCAGTGACCCCCAAAACATTAATTTATGGAAATAGAAAAATTTTCTAGCCCCCTTCAGTAACTAGTTTGTTCAAAAAATGTTTTGACGACAGTCCATTCTAGATTCTAAATTCGGCATATTGAATTTTCAAAAAGGCCAGAGTGCTAATGAAAGTAGACATGTATACCTACAATTTGAGCCCAAGAAGAAATTTTTTGGTTAAGCTGAATTTTGGACAGAGGGAGTGACCCGCTTGACAGAGAATGCTCCATATATATAAATTATATAACTTGTATAAATTAACATTTTTTTGGTTTTTCTTTTATAAATATTTAATATTTGCGTTTAATATTGCACTCTTGAATCTCCATGTTTTCAAATTTTTTTTATAAATTCATCAAATTCTTAACAATACATTTAATGAATGTAACATCGTAATGTACACATTTAGTTCGGAATGCCATTTAGAGCTTAATTTCATTCTTTTCAATTTTTTCCTAACGCCGTCCCTTTATTAAATTATTCAAATCAATTATTTTCGTGTTAAAGTTATTTCGCGGAAAAATAATGACCAAATTATCGAAACCCAGACATAAGCCCTCAAAAAGTCAGAGTCAAACCCGGAGAGGTGGCAACCTTATGTTTCTTCCAGTAAAATACGCATAAGATTCGCGGACGAGCCTAATAGTCGCGAAGTTCATCCTGTTAAGAAAAAGTCATTAACAACGTGTTCGAGTCCGTTTGTCTGTTTCCCATTCATTTTTAATTGCTCACTGCATTGCTCGTTTTGTTCTTGTTGATACGAAAAAAAAGATCCTTGTAGATCCAAGACTATATCGCGGTTCTGTCCATTCGCTTCCAACTATCAATTCTCTTTTTTTTTCTGTTTTTTTTTCCTTTATTTTTTCCCCTCTAAATCTTTGATCCCAAGACAGTGTTAATCTGAAATGGCAATCTTCCCAGCGTTTCTACAAAACTATACGATTTATCGAGTAAATATTTATAGATTTCGAAAGTATCATTAACTTAGCACTAATTCGCTAATCAAGTATATCGTACAATCACTAAATTATTGCTTTGTCGTACCTTGTATCACACTAATCTAAACCCTATTGTTTCTTTACGTGTTTTCTTCTATTTCTCTCTCTCTCTCTCTCTTTTATTTTTTTCCGAAAAGCCAGGTTTTAACGGTGATCATGCCTGCTTCTCTGTGAAGTTCGTCTACATACAGATGCGCACAGAAACGTTTTCATGTGTACCTTCTTAACATATTAACATACCATAACAGTTCTTCACTTCTCTCCCCCCCTCTCTCTCTCTTTCCTTCCTATTAATTAATATAATAAACTCAATAAATGTAATAATCGATAGAATCACTTGAAATTCTCTCGTCTCGTTACGTCTGCATTAGTTTTAGAAACGCGAAGCGAAAGAAAAAGAACACGTTCGGCACAAAACTGATGGTTGACGCAAAAGTAAAATTGTAGCAAGTACGTTACTTTGACGTTGAGGAAAGTCAACGTGCCAACGCGTTCATTATCAAATGAGAGTAATGACATCGCGCGAAAATACATTTTATTTTTCCGCGAAATGCGCAGCGAGCGTCGCGTTAATATAAAAATTCGGTTCAAACAGTGATGAATATATGTCGTCATCGTTAAATCGAGAACGAATAAAAATAATCGGTTCTCGAATTTCAGTGTGATTCGATCGATTAGTACATGTACATACATCTATATATATATATAGTTTTATATGTATATATATATATATATATATATATATATATATATAATGGATGCGCCTTGTCTCTATAAGTATTATATTTATATTTACGTGTACAATGCTTGTCACATTTTCGTTGTTCTTTTTTTATCTTCGATATATTAACATTCAGTTGGTTGAGTGAGTTATTCTCTCTATCGCTTACATATTGACGATTCTTATCACCTCGAAAAACGATATATTACTACGACTGTTAAATCCACCGCGCGCGCGGCATAGAAACGGTTTAGCAACTTGGTCCTCTTTAATTGGGAGTCTTTATATTAATGCGCGTCCATTCAGTTCCTTTCCATCATTCACGTATTATTGTTGCTTGCAGTTTTTTTTTCATTGAATGCCTCCTTTCTTTCCATTCGACTCAATCGCCCGTTATCATGAAAAAGTTTTTGAAGAATAGAGAGATAAATTAATACAAATATACGCGTAATTGATTTTGCTTAAAGTTACTGGCAAGATTGAGAAAAAGAAACGAGCAAATGTATCTTTTTCGCAATTAAGAATTTTAACTCTTATCTGGGCGACATTCGTCTACAACATCTGCTATAAAATTCGTGAAACAAACTTGTTTTCCTAGATGAATGTTCAGCTCAGTTACGAAACTCCGCACAATCTTTGGTTGTATAAAAACACATATATTTCTAGATATGAAATACAATTAATATCTAATATAATTAATAACATATTTTACTTTAATTATATATAAAATAATAACTTTACGCAATATCATATTTCTAAGTGACGTTGTCGCGTTTGACAATTTGTTTTGTTGCTCGAATAAGGATTAATCCGTATTGGAAGAGACGCCACATCCGTTTGTTTCGGAATAAAACGGAAATATGCCACGACGAGTGCGTGCGCCAATTGTAAAGTCACCGTCGGTTTCGCTCAGTTCCACGTCCGATATGCGCGATTCGGACAAGGAACTCTTCCCCTCTCGGACTTGAGAAACGTATGAGGCATGATCGTCCTGGGGCCTGGCTTAAATCATTTGTATATTTAAAAAATAGTAACGACCGCATTTATCTCGCGCTTATGAATATCAGTTCTGTGGCTTGCGATCTCACTCTCTCTGACAATTCGCCCCTCCCCCCTCCGCCTCCGTTATTAACGTGATGTCTTCTTCTCGCCCTCATTGAGTAAATCTCATTGAGTATAATCGCGTCGATAAATGTTCCGAGTTCGTGGCGAGATTTCGCGGATATCTTGCCAGTGTTGCCAGCAAAGGAGGAAAATCGTAGCAATTAAATTCAAACGGAAATGAAATCGCGAATAATTTGAGTAGCATTGTTTACTTTAACCAATTAATTTTTACTAATCGTTTACATGATTTTTACAAAGATAATGTAAAAGGAGCGATGAATATTATGTGTCCGACGTAAACAGACGGCAAGTCGATATCATTTCAAGAATGTGCCGAGAGTTTACTGCATAAAACGAGAAATTGTACTTTCCGTGAAACCGGAGATACGTGTACTATATCACACTTTGTCGCATTGGCAAGTTTCAAGTTGAAAAACTATTTTATTATACGCAAGGTGGCGCGAAATCGTGCCACGAAACATCGTTCCGCTTCTTGTCGCTCTCTTCTTCCTCGCGAGTACTAAAACTACTGTAAAGTGTGCCACGACGTTTCGCGTATCCCCGGCGGAACTCGCATGAGGGAACCCTGCAACTATATAGGGGCGGTCGTGGATCGTGTGCACATATACCCTCCTTTTGTTCCCCCCTCTCCTATTATTGACTACCGTTACGAATTACACTATTAATTATAGATTCGATTGACTGCCGAGTATTGTAATATAAGTATAACAGTATAAGAGACGCGTGTGTGCGTGCGTGCGTGCGTGCGTGTGTGTGTTGTGTGTGTGTGTGTCTGTGTGTGTGTGTGTCTACAGTTAATCTCAAATATTACGAAAAAACGTGGCCGAGCTGCAGAACTACGTGCGTGTTTTGTGATCTTCCCGTATAATGGGTCTAGAGATCTATCTACTTTCTTGCGGGACGACTTTGTATATAGTCGAGGCACGAAATGTGAATTTAGAACAAAATACGAGCGTTTAACGTTATAGAAACGAGTCCAGCAAAAATAAAGATTGTATTACGAGATACTTTCAAAACTTCTGGTGTGAAATTATTTCATCTCACGCGGATATATTCACTTTGCAATAAATGATAACGCGCTTTGATTTTTAATATGCATGTAATGCATATTAAAACCAGAGAAATATTTGGTTTACGTTTTTCAGCTCGGTTACTTTATGCTTTCACATCCGCGTCCTAATTTCGTTGCTGCTTGCAGTTCTCTAATTTTATTGGCAATGTTTTATTTTATTTCCCGTTGCTTCTCGTATCTTATTTTCACATTTCAATGCGTCTCGACGCTATCTGCCCGCGTCGCGTTCCCGAGAGGAAGAGAAAATGAGCCGTAAGTAGGAGACTTCCGGGAAAAAACCGCCGATCTCTCCTCCCGTTCGTTTTATCGCCGCGATTTTATGGCGGCGGCGTCAGCATCGAAAAATGCGATCGAGGTGTCTATATGCATTTACTTCTCTTGGTGTTGATACGTTTGTACTAACTAAAATCACCAAAGCCCTCCCTTTTATTCTTCCTCACGTTTACAACCGGGCGTTAATCTCGCTATAACGATAAGTGTACGTCGAGCCGCGCATTACGTTTCAATTAATTAAATACAATCAAACACACCGCTCCGCTTTATATCTTACACCAGTCGCTCTCGTAAAATTTCCCGTACCAAAATATCTCTAAGTTATATTAAAAACGCTTTAGACGGCACAAGGGGAGAGAAAGTAAGATAAAATATACGACGAGAAAGAATAAGCGTCGCTACCTCTTCACTTATACATGCGACCGCCTTAGGCAACTAAGATAAAAAGGATGTAATTCAAGCGCAACTTGTTGACTAGATCGTAAGTACTTTTTCTTCTCCCCTTAATTCCACCCTTCTGTTCCTCTCTCTCTCTCTTTCTCTTCTATTTTTGGTCATATCTTTGGTATAATGTTGTGGATTGCACCGTTCTATAAAATGCACTTGCGTGCGATCCACTTTTTTCATTCTTCTTGCTCGAGGTTTTCACGCGAAAATACCTTCCAGCAATGGTATTATCTCCCTCAATATATCCAGTTTTAGTATGTCTTATATATATACACTGGTTACACGAGACGTTTTATTATATTGCTTTAAAAGATGGAGGATTTGCGTCCCTTCATAGTCCTCATAGCCGACGTCGCATTGACTAGATATGACAAATAAAATTACGAAATAAATAAATTAAATAACTATTTATAATTAATCTCCATTCGATTTCTTAAGTTCTACGCGCATAAATAATATATAAATTATAAATAATATATAACGCAATAAAAAGTTGATCCATACAAAGGAACTTCGTTCATATGATCACAATGTCGTTCGTAGGAACTTTGATATACAAAAAGTGGGATAAGAAAAAAACTTATTTAGAAAATAATCTCGCAACTCCGTTACATTTTAACTAAAAATTCAAGATAAAATAATTAATAAATATCTTAGAAATATAATAAAATCTCTAGGATAGGAACGTTTATGAACGGTGCCACTTGTGCCGGCTAAAGAGATCACGAGACCGCGATACTCTTTGCGGATTCTGTTCTCGACGCGGATTTTCGCAGTACCGGAAAGAAGCATTGATAAATTTCGATAAAACGTCGCAATTGACCGCGATCTTGTTCGCGCTTTTAACAACCGAGGAAATGATGTGTTCCATAATTCAGGGGAGCAGTACGACCGACCCTTTTGCCACCGAATGGTCATTTCTGCATTCAACAGGTGGCCCAGTTTACGTGAAATGTTGATGAAAACTTTCCGCGAGCATCCGCGTGCGTTACGCTAAAGATCCCGACGAAAATCGACGTGCAGAAGAGAGCGCATTTAAATGCACAAGAGATCTCGCTCTGCAGGTGCGAGAATTATACATTTGGAACAACCTTGAATTAATGTAAAATATATGCAGAGCAATAATTCGGTTTGCCTAAATGTATCACCGATTTCTAATTCTAATTATGTCTCGAGTGATCGTCCTCCTGGTAAATGAAATTAAAACGGATATCTTTTTTTTTACGAACCCTTCTTTTCTCTCGGAAGAGAACAATCGAGCGTGTCTTTATCGTCGAGCCAAGATGGATGAAAAAAGTGAGCTCTTATAAGCTATACGTGAGAGAAAGATATTGCACTACTTCTCGTCTACGATCGACTTTATCGCTGCTCATTCCGAGAGCATCTCGATTCGTCGGTTTTTACGAATTCACGGAGTGAGATGCATCCGCGATGTTTTCGTATCGATCTTCGACAAGAAGACGCCCAAACATATTGAAATATTGATATCACTCTATGTTGAAGCATCTTCACGGCAGACTTACCTAAAATGACTAGCAAATCAAAATACAGATCTTCTCACCGGTGTGGAAAAGAAGTTTCTCTGTGCGCACTAAAAAGATCTCTCAACGGTCAAAATTGTGCGAGCAAATCCTACAATTTCAAGTACATATGCTAATACTGCTTATTAGGGAACGGCCCTTTGGAGAAATCACAAGCACGGTTCTACTGAGAAATTGAAGGGGGTGCATTTTACATGAAAACTTCATCGAAAAACTTTATCGTTCCTCGGCAGCGATTGAAAAACTAAAGGTCAGTTTCAAGTTTGACTTTAGTTTAATCGATTCTTCATCCGTTCCAATTTTAATATTAAAGAAAGACAAAGAATCGCTTAAATTAGGGTCAGTCTAGTGAAGCAAACTGTGACATTAACGAAACCGTCCAATATCGGATAAAAGTGACACAGTAAAAAAAAATAGTTTCAAAAAAAGGAATGCAAAGTCTACCTTTAGTCCAATAAAATATAAAAACATTACGTGTATCTGTCACTGAATCGACAATACAGTATGCAATACTAAGGTACTTGAATTTGACATAGTCGCGATCATCTCTTAACATTTTTGAACTTTCGAAAATAGTCAAATTCTAATAGTCTCTCTTTACCTCGCATTCATATCATTATTTCCACGTATCACCTTCATTTAGCTTTTCAATTCTCGTTTATTTATTCAACAACGATATTCATTCGTCGAGAATCCGTGCGGAAATTCACGAAGCTCTTCTCTCCTTTCCCCTTTGCATCGAGGGGGAGAGAAAAATCGGAGAAAAAACGATTCTAAGAATAGTGCATGGAATGTGCGCGGAAAAAGAAGTGGCGCGCGGTGAAATATTCAGAGAAACTCCTCTTCCCGCGAGAGAGGAAGAGACGAGCGCGAGATCCAGAGACGCCGATATGTCAATTACCTTCGTCGTCCTCGTTCCCGCGCGCAGCCGAGATTTTCGCCCGTCCGCGACGTTTAAGCCGGCGAGTAAATCGAATCACTTTGCGCTTACCGGGAGATACCAGTTGAAATTGGATGTTACCGGTGCGATTCGACGTTTGATCGTCGTCTATGATGCACAAAAGAACCTCGAGGCTCATCCTCTCGACAGCGGTAGCAAGTCATTAGCCCATTCTGCAATTTCGCAGCAAAATCTTATCGACTAATTGGAAGCTCTCCCTTTCCCCCTTTCACGCGCTCCCTGATCCAATCTGACCCGGGATTAGTAGAGAACAGAACTCTTACGACAAGCTTTCCGAGGTACCTGAATCCAAAAACGCGATTAATCGTGCTAACAATCTTTCGCAAAAAAAATTTTTGTTTTTTCGACAAGAAAGACAAAAAGTCAAAAGACTTTAATAGATTGACAGATAAAAATTAGAGAGACTTTAAATTCGAAGCATTGGTTTCAAGTATTAGAGCAATGATACTTAACAAACAGTCGAATGAAAGTTGAATGGAGACTGCTTGTGTAGCGTTGCAATACTTTTTCAAATTAGGCGAATATCCAAAAATTGACGTTAAATTCGAGCTCGAGCTTTGCAAGCGTGAGCTGTGTTTCTTTTTTTCTTTTTTTTTTTTTTGTTGAGTTCCGCGGCGAGGACAAAGGGAACGTGAGGACTTGCTGCCGTAATCGAGCGCAACGATAGACCCGACCGACTCGAATTCCGTGTGAAACAATCGAAACCAATCGCATCCGCATTGGCGATGAGAGGCCAGCAGCGATGGCTTCCCGTACATCCGTTCGTCTTCCGTCCTTTTTTTTCCTCTTGGTCCATAGAGCAAAAGTACTGTCTACGCAGCACAAACTATTTCTTTTTTTTTCTACCAGTCTACGTGATGACGCCACTGTAATCTTCTGTTTACGTCGTGCACGACCGGCTGCAAATTGCGGATTGATCGGTTAGCACGGCGCGCTTTATTTCGGGCGCGCTGTTATAGGTCTAAATGTGAGAATGGCCGTGATCGATCGCGATGTGATATGTCAGCAAATTTAAGTTCCCCCTCGTGCCATTGTACAATATTAGACTGTGTCGCAAATGTAGTTAAGCGAAGCGATCGTTCGGTGTCAGCCGACTATTATTTCCCACAAAACAATCGACAGAAATCGAGAGGGTAACCACTCAGAAAATAGATGTACACCTGGACTTCTTCTGACTTCAAGACTTCACCAGAGTTCATGGACTTTATTGGACTACATCGGAATTCATCGAACTTCATCAGACTTCGTTTCACCGGACTTCACTGGACTTTTATGGACATGGTTGCCACCTTTCGGGTTTTCGCGTGAAAACACCGGCGAAATTTTCCAATAAATTTACATTGCACATCCAGCACAATACCACTTTCAAGATGGCAACCATGGTCGTAAACTTTATCAGACTACGTCGGACTTCAAGGAATTCTGACAGGTTGTACACCGGAATTCAAGAGGGGCTACCCCCTCGACAGAAATTGATTTTTATCAATCTTCGAAGAAAAAGAAGAAAACTTAAAATATCGTGAGTTGATCGAAAGACCTACCTGATCGCTGCCGCTTACCGCGGCGTCGCCGGTACATCGGGTACATCCTGATCCCGGCTTGCTTATGGCGGCGAGTCGACGTCGTTGTTGGTCTCGTCGCTGTCGCGCTGGCACGCCGACTCCAGGTGCTTGTTCAAGTACGACTTGAGGGCAAACGATTTGTGGCACTTGGGGCACTCGTAATTCTTGTCCGCCGAGTGCGTCTGCATGTGCGCCCGCAGATTCGAGCGATCGGCGAACGCCTTGCCGCAATGAGCGCATCCGTACGGCTTCTCGCCGGTGTGGCTGCGCAGGTGACCCTGTAGCAACCAGGGCCGCGAGAACATCTTGCCGCATACGCCGCAGCTGTGCGTGAGCTTGTGCGTGAGCACGTGCATCGCCAGGGCGGGCATGCTGACGTACGCCTTGCCGCAGTGGATGCACTTCTTGGCCGATTGCGAATCGATGCTGCGATGCGTCTGCTTGTGCCGCGACAGATTCGACGAGGTCGCGTACTGCTTGCCTGGAAGAGAAGGGAAACGCGCGGGTTGACAGGGAATTGACAGGAGCTAGTAATTCGTTTAATATTCGCGAAGGCGCGTTCTAGATTATCTTGACGGTATATTCGTCGATCCGAATTAATCCCATAAATTTATTAAGATATAAGATGTAATATTAATTAATTAACGCTACTCACCGCACTCGCAACATACGTAACGACCGGTTTTAGAGGTCTCGGGCGCTTCGATCGGTTCGGTGTCCTGATTCTTCTGCACGGCAGGCGCCTTCTTGTTCTTCGACCTACCGTCCGAGACGAGCAACGTGTCGTACGTGTAACTGGCCGGTTTCACTCCCTCCGTTTGCTCCGTGATAGTCTGCACCTCCTTGTCCCTCTGCGTCGGTTGTGAGTTTGGGTTACTGTTTTCGATGTCACTGCTGCACTCGGAGGTCGGCGGTGTCAGCGGCGGTGTCGTTTCGATCTGTTGTTGCTGTTGCAACGGCTGTTGCTGAAGCTGCGGTTGCTGCTGTTGCTGCTGCTGATGCTGCTGCTGCTGCTGCTGCTGTAGCGGCAGCTGATGCTGCGGCTGTTGAGCGACAATTGACGTGCACGGTATGGTGGATGTACTGTACGTCAGCAGGATCTCTTGTACCGGTGACAAGGGTATGAAAACGCTGCCCGGGGATGGCACAATGGTGGACTCGTAAATAATACTGGCGGCCGCGGGCTGTTGCTGTTGCTGATGATGACTGTAGATGGTCGAGCCGGCCAGATCGATTGTGTTCACTTGATAGATCGGTTGTTCGGCCGGCTGATAGACCGTCATCTCCTGGACGTCGCTCGCCGGCGCCTCGATTACGCTTTGAGGACCGATCGCGACGCTCGGCGGTGGTAACGGGGGTAACGATCGGGAGAGCTCTAGGAGATCGTGCGCCGCCTCCGTTTCCGCCGCGGAGCGATCTTTAAACATGGACGACACTTGACCGGACATGGACATGCCACAGGATGGGGTAACCAATCGTATCCTAGAATCAGGTGTTCTCGAGTGCTCCGGATCCTCCAGATGATAGGACGTCGACGTGCTGGACGGCGGAGACGGTTTTTCGATGGATGTTGGATGGTGCAGCGTCGCGATAGACGTCGTCGTGGTGTCGTCGAGTCTCTCGGGAGCCGTTCGCACGTCCAACGGAGGTAAAGACGTCACCGTCGTCGTCGTTGTAGTTTCCTTGACGGGAGAGACGATCGTTTCTGCCGGAGATAGAGTCGTCAGGGACGTCGTCGTGATGCACGTGATCACGCTCGTCTCCATTCGTGTCGTCATCGAGTAGTCCGTCGCGGGTGCCGTCGTGATGACGGATGACGGGGCTGTTGTCGCGACAGTCGTGTCTACGTCGCTCGGTGGTTGTTCCTTCGAGGGGTCTGCTTCGGCCACGGCGGAAGTCGCGACGGCCGTTGTGTCCTTTGGTTGCGTGTCGCGACATTCTGAGAGATAAGATCATAAAGATTAACGCTTCATTTGCGTACATAATTGTTCCAATCAGACTACACCTCATGACAGAATAAAAAGAAAAAATGAATAAATTTGCTACAAATAAGCTTATATTATTGCAAAATGTTTTTACTGTCTTATATACCGTATGAACAACGTGCGAACTGGTTTCTCTGCTTTCATTTGACTTTTTAATCGAGATTTAACGACACCGTAGGCTTTTAAATGGGATACCAAAGAAGAGTATCCGATTCTCGTTACCGGCGTGATAGCAAAGAGTGTCGAACCTTGACGGTGGTAGGAGGAAGTGCAGCGATAAACGGATGATAGAGGGGAGGGAGGGGGAAGATGTGGGCTGTGCACAGTACGGATTGCGAAGGCAGGGGTAGTGGGATTATGACGGCAAATATGTTAGAAACGAGGTCAAAGGGGATGGGAGTAAAGAACCAAGAAGGTCTCCTAGACTAAGCGGATATAAAATTTCACGATAACTCGGTTATGAAAGTGCACGTTTCGTTTTAAAAGCGACCGACTTCTCTTACCGTCAGACCGATCTGTTTTATTATTTCGTCGTTGTTTCTGCACGTTTCGCGAGCAGAATGAATTTTTACTGTGATCACGAAAAGTTTTGCTGTTCGCGAAAGGATCGACAGCTATGAATATTATACAAATGTAGGTGTCCCGCCTTCCATGCTGTATTATTTTTATTTGCGCAGTAAAAAGTCGGATATCAACTTCGGATATGAAAATTTTTGTTGTGAGTTGCAGAATTGCGAAAATATTCCCACATGAATTATTTATTAAGATATAGATGTTACAAATTTTGTATAACAGAATATATACATTTATATATATACGTATATACATATAACAAAACAATTTTGCTCCATTTTTATTTCTCTTTCTACAAATAATTAAAAACTGAAAAAGAATAAATGAAGAATAAAAAAGAGAGAAAATTACAATATATTTATAATTTTATAATTTCGTAATTACATATCCCAAAGTTAATATATTTCAGAATACTTAATTTGAAAGTGTCACATTTTTCACATGTTCATATATTTCATATCTTTAATACAGGAAACATCGATTTTAATAATTACTACGCGAATACCATCAAACACTGTCCAATAAAATGTTCGATAAAAGATATTCGTTATTTTTTAAACGTTTCGGCGAACACGATTTCGGTCAATTATTCATAGCGCGAACGTTTGAAACTCTCTTGTCTCTTTGTGACGAGATGCTATAAACGCGCATCGCCATTACGATGATTCTGAGCGCCTCCTTTGTAACTGCATTTACTGTCTCGGCAAGTTTCGCATACCATTTTCGCCGTTCACACGAGAGGCGGATGCGCCGTACAAGTAATAACGCCACGGAGAATTCCGACAATTAAGGTCGTTTTGTTGCGACCAGGTAACGCATTGTCGGGAATTACGCGGTGCGCAGCGGCGTGTGTGCCATTATCACTTGATAATTCGATATAAACGCGTATGGGGCCGACGCTACGCGCCGAAGTGAAAATAATAAAGTGCTGCTAAAGCGCTGAAATAATTACAAATAAAATAAAAAGAGCTATCGCGTTTTTTAAATTATTATTCAGAAGAATATTTTATCCATATGTTATGTTTTGTTATATTATTTACATAATATCTATAAGATCTATAAGATCTCATTTCGACGTTGCCAAGTTTAAAATTATTTTTGCGCTCTGTTTGGTATTGATCGATCACTCGACTTATGAAAATATAATTATTCCAACGATCGCAAATTCCCGGCGATACGGCGAAGTGTAGCGTACCTTGTGCAACAGGGGGTGTAACGCACCCCTCTACGGGCGAAACGGGCAGCTGCATGGTGGTTGGCGATGGCGTGCTCCTTCCGCGGCCCCAGTTCTCGAATCCTCTGGCAACGCTGGTTATGTACTTGTTGCACAGGGCCTTCTTTACCATATAGCACCGCGGCATCTTGGTTGATCGTTCTCTTCCCAACGGGATTAATATCGAAGTATCGCTCTAAGATCACCAAACAACGTAAGGTAAACAACCCTCTTGAGCCACGGCTATCCTTCCCTCCTCGGTCCTTCGGTGTAACAGCGTATTTTATTGCGAGGCGGGCGCGTTACTTGCGCCACGATCAAGAAGTATCGATCACGATTATATATCGCGCAAATCTCCTTCGCAAAAGTCGCGGCTCCTCGTCGGACAAAACGATGCACTACAATATACCGTTCGATATAACCGTTTAACCGTCTTGCTGCTCGTTTTCGTGAAAAACGCTGGATTTATCCTTCTGACGATTAACGCGGAGATTTCACCAGGTCACACGATCTCTCGATTGATGCTTCAACTGTTTGTCTCACTTGCGCGCTTACTCTCAGATATCCTGAGACACGACATGGTCGTCTCGCATCGGTCTATTGTGGTGAGCCGACTGTCCCAATCAGAGTGTCTTCCACTCGAAATTTCTTTCTCTAATAGCCAAAATGAAAGAGAGCGAGGACAACTCTCTCCTTGGGGGAAGATAAAACGCTCAATTCGAGGTGGCTATCTTGGCGATATCGCTTGATTTAATCCTAGACGTCGTTGCACGATTATTAAATAGGACTCTGCGTATAAACTTATAAATATTTTTTTGTATAACTATATACAGGGATGAGAGAGTGAGCGTGTACGATCGCGATGTCTATATGCGCGTGTATACATTTATATTAAAATATCTCTTAAGTGAAGCGAGGAGCTGGGAGGAGCTCTCGATCGTGTGTGTAGCGATCGAGTTCGAGTGAGGGGAATAGCGGTGGCATCAGGGATGGCCTTCTGGATGATTTCCTAAACGCGATCAGAGGGGGCGAGATTATGGGAGGGTGGCGGAAAGCGTATGCAGCTTGCCTTTGCTTTGTTCCTCGAGATTACCTTGTTTGTAGTATTGCTTTCGTTGTATATTCACGGGTGGAAGATTTACATGCTCTCTATGGCGCCGGCCTCATGCCCGCCGCGTTCTATCTTGTCGTTCGCAAAACATACGCATAAGCGCGTCTACGTGCGCGTTCTATCCATCTAGCTTATCTCTCTTCTCTCCTCTCCTCTCTCTCTCTCTCTCTCTCTCTCTCTCTCTCGCTCTTTCACTGTTTTTCTCTTTTTCTCTTTTTCTCTCTTCCTCCGTTTTACCGCCGCAGATTCGTTATCCTGCGTTGTTTCCGGCAATACATGCGTCGCCGGGAATGCGCGAATCCACGTCGAAGCTTCCGTCGCTCCGGTTCCGCGAGATACACTCGCGAACTGTTCACTCGCCCGGCTGTTCCAGGTGATATCTCGTCACACCGATTCCCGATGACGTCGCTGCTCTGGGACGCGCCTGTCTCGATGACGACATCCTCATCGTGACGAAATCCGAAGCCTCTGAGACTGACGGACGTCTGAACTTCTCTGCGAATTGACTGTGAACGATGTGTGCGAGTTTCTGAGCGAGAGAAAATCTCAGTTTGATTATCGAAATCGAGAAATGCGATTTAAAAAACGATTGCCCGTTTCCTTGTGGATAAAATCGGGCCGGTTTGTCTTCGTCAAATAGTTCTCTAGCCGACGACGACTCTGCTATTCACAGTAAACGATTTCAAGAACCTCGATACGAATAGTTGAGTTTCTATAAGGAGTTGGTCCTTTGAATTATCCCGGCGAGCGTCATTAGTTTCCTTTGAATCGCAGGAAACGGATATTGTACTTTGAGGATGAAAGAGGAGCTTTTTGGCGCGCGTCTGGTCTTTCTCAATGTCTTCTTCTTGACTCATAAAGAGCGGAAGTCTCACAGGATAAATCCTAATTTTCTCACGATCCAATATATTTCGATCAAACGAACACTATTAAGCTCGCTCAAAATTAGACACTCGGTGATAAAAATCGTACGATATCAGTCATCATTAAAATTTCTCTTGCCTCTTTCTTTCTCTTTTTTGAAATCCAAACTTGAGTCTTGAACTATTCCCCTTCCGGAGCTTCCAGTTTGTCAGTCTCGCCGTATTTCCATCCTCGCCTTCTTCGTCCGCGTTTCCGGGGGTGGTCGGAGCACGATCGGTCGAAAGCGCGGCGTTCCGATATGCGATTCGACGATTCCTCGCAAGCGGCGTTACCTCCGTTTTTCGGAAAACAAGCTCTCCTTCGACT